ATTTCTGATCGAACTCTTTAAGATGCCTGCCAGTTGACAGCTATCATCGACCAATAAGCAAGCTATTAGAAAACCAACAAGAAAAATTGCCGAGATTGTCCCTTTCATGGTACGTAAATCAATCTTCTTCTCTTCTCGAGTCTTACTACTGTCCAGAAGCTATATGGGTAACCAATCTTTTGTGGTTTATGTAAGGCGAAGAGGATTAACGACGTCTTATAAAGTTTTACAACACTGCCTCCCACTGTGGCTATAATAACAAAATATACCGGAAGATTTGGGAACAATGAACTACGGAATCAGTTAATATATCCCCTTTGTCGTCTCTGTTAAAGGAACAAAACAAGGCAGAGAAACGCATTAGCTCTAGAATGAATAACAAAGAGTCGCGTGGTTTGCGTGATAATAGCTCTTTTGAAGATTCTTCGAATGAGCACCTTTGATAAATGATGTGCTTGATCGAGAGTCTGATAAAGTAATTTTCGACCAAAGTTCAAGCTAGTACGTTTATCTTAATTCGTTTTTTTCGCTTCATATCGATGACGACTGCTATATTTTGTGCATCCAAAGTTATTGTGTAGGATGAACAATTAATGATATTACAGAAGTTGAAAGAAAAAGCGATAAAAACAGATGGTGGATGAAAAACAAAAACACTTACTGAATCTGTCCATGATACAGGCTGGGCAAATAAGGAACTTTGAAATTAATTAAGGTAGCGTCCTTTTTTTTCTCGGTGCCACGCGCCTTCAAGCTCATTTTCCTTGTGCCACGCGCCTTCTAAATACCTTTCTGCTTTATTTGAATACCGTATAAGGGAAAGTGTTGTCAAAGTTTAGTTAATAAAATATATATATATATATATATGTATCTATAAATATTGGAAGTAGGAAAAAAACTACACTTTCATCCCGACAAGCCTGTTTCGTGATCTCTCACTCTTCAGGGGATTTTAGTTTTTTCCCTACTTCCAATATTTATATCACGCTCTCCTTTAACGTATCGAGCACTCTACTACGGAAAAATCGAAACACAGACTTCCTATATGTATCTATATATCTATTTTATTAATATATCGCGTTGAGAAAGGGTCAACTTAATTTTAAAAGCATCAAAAACAAGCAAGAAAAAGAGAGAGAAATAAGGACCCATGATTTATGCGAAAGTGGGGTAAAATCTCTAGATTATAGAAAGGGACTGAGTTGCTTAATACAGTCAACTCTGATCTCGGCTTGGAGATATATAACCATTCATTTTTAATCGTATTTGTAGTTTTTATTTAGGATTTGTGTCCGTTTTTCCTCAAATGCATGCACACGTTTCCAATAAAGAAACTCCTGCACTCCGCTCAGTATTTTGTCGAGTCTTGGATTCTCCCTGGCATGGACACTTTGTTTCGCAACAGTGACTATAAGGACTAACGGAACAGATCTCTTTTAGAAATAAATCGAATTATTCTCTGAAACAAATGAACAAAACCAACAGTGCGTCGTTAGGCAAAGCTCGAAGTGATGGGTGATCAAATTCGGATTCTATAACAGCACTAAAATTACTAGAAAATGTCAAGTGCTTTCAGTAAGTAAATTTCCAAATTCTTCGTTTCTAGGCCTTGAAGTTGAACAATACCCTTATTTTCTGCAATTGACGTTATACGGGTGATCTCGATCATTAATGATCAGGTGGATATTAAAGAAACCTGCTTTTAACCCGCACTGACTAAATATGCCCGCCAATTTCGGCAGTAAGGGCCTTAAATTAATATCGCTTTATCTTTTATCAATTCCGTTAAATCCAGGTCGAAAGAAACAGGAAATTCACTAATTATAACGAAAAATTCTGCACAAACAGATATCCCTAGGCCGGATCGGAAAAAGCATCTAACTAAATTAACATTTTCTGAAAATAAATTGTGACAAAAACCTTACCAATTTTTTGCTCATCTGTAGTAAATTGTTAAGTGTCCAGGGCGGCCCTTTTCATCAGTAAAGAAAACCAAAAAGGAAGAAAAGAAAAGAAAATAATAAGATGATTTACAATTCTAAATAAAGAAAATATATTTGATAGACTATGGAAAATTTTCACTCACATGGTCAGCATCCATGTCCATTCTGATGTATTGGAACAAAAGCAAACCTTTACACAAGAAAAGAGTTCTTGGTGCACCAACATAAACTCCGTTTCATTGTTTTGGAACACCAATATGGCTGCCGTGACGTCATGTGAAAGCGCTCTGTGAGAATAGACCTCTTTAGCTTACCCAATGGAGGTCCCGGGGGAATTTGACCCTTTGTTGTACATTTGCAAGTGCGTGCATGTAAATAAGACGAAATTTGAAAGAAACAGTCCTGTAAAGTATTATCACATGACCTGTATTGGGAAAACAAAATTTACAAGCTAAAGAGATCTGTAGCGCAAATGTCTAACACATTATGACTGGATGAGCATAATAAGTAATATTATCATGAGTTCGTTTCCCGCATTTCAACAACAACGGCAAAACTTCTAAGATTTCCTGATCAAAAGATAGTAACATTTGTTTTCATGTATTTCATCAATCCAGTGCAAGCTGTACGTTAAAACTTATGGACAAAAAGCAAAAAGAACAAGACTAGAGAAGGGAATGAAAATAGGGTTTTCGTTTTCTGTGAAGCTATTACTGAACTTATTTTCACACCACATCAGAGAGGAAAGAAAGCAACTGTAGGTTCCCGCAAGTGTGGATACATTTTTTTTCTTTTTTTTTCTTGGTGAGTTACAGAGTTTTTTGGTCAAAGCTGAGCTGAAATCATCACAATGGTCAAGTATTCTTATTCATCTTTTTTCTTACTTGAAACTTTAAAAGAGAGATATCCGTGAAACTATCAAAATGAAAACAAATCATGATCGATTTTTGGACATTTTTGGACTGCAAAGAATGGATTTTAACTTTAAAAAGTTTGCTCAATGAAATAAACCACGCTATTCGGAGATAACTTTTACCGAATAAGAGGCTGCGGGTAGATTGCATACTGTTTTTCAAAAGAAACTGGCTGTTAAAAAAAGCAAGACATTAAAAGTAGGCAAAATTGGGCCCAACTAGGCTCCGGCAGGATGTGATCATGATCTTAACAGGAGCTATCGCGAATTGATGAATAGTGAGCCATGTAACGTACACCTGCAAGATATTGCTAAGTCACGAGTTAATAGTTTAGTTGTAAGTCTGAATTAGGAGCCTTTGACGTTTGATAAGCCAATTAGTTTTGTGAAAGTGCAAAACAAAAGTTATTTCAGTTTGCTATGCATGAAGCATCCCTTTCTCGAAACTACCCTGCGAGCAGAGGTTTCTCTCTATGGCATGGCTTTTAGCTTTTACGAAGTTGTTCGCGTGGCTTGTCTGTTGCATTGGGTAAACGAACCAACCACGTGACAGACAAGCCACGCGGACGACTTCGTAAACGATAAAAGCCTTGCAAGCGAGAAACCTCTGCTCGTAAGGTATCTCTAAACGTGTTATAAAGCATCATAACACCGAACTGTCATTATGACCGAGCGGCTAAAGTAATGGAACTTTGTTCCCAGGGTTCTTGTCAAGTCACTTTTATTTCAGTAAACTGTTAAAAAAATTGCGTAACAAATCAGACACGATGTCAGAAAAACAAGGATGAGTACAAGAGAACCCAAGCAAAGTAGTTAAAATTGATGCTGTCTTTTCAATAACACGAGAAAGACGACCAACGCCGAGAAAAAAATAATTTAACCTGATATGCCCCAATGTTCAAATACAATTTCTCCATACTGATCTCTGAAACACTTCCTCAAAGAATTGGTCAAGACTAGCCTGGGACCAAGCTCCGCAGTGGGGGAAAAAAGGCCAAAAAGGAAGGGGTCAAATAGGAAAATATCGGCGAGCGAAGCGAGCCGAGCGGTATCCTGGTGAGGGGGGAAGGGCGACCACCCTTTCCCCTCCCCAGACTACCTCTCGGTTCGCTTCGCTCGTCGATTTTGTTTTTTTTCGCCAACGCCGACTTTTTCTCCTTTTTCCCACAATGCGGAGCCTGGTCCCAGGCTAGGTTAAGACGGATTTGTTTGTAGATGAAAGCTTTTCCCATCAGTGATCGTTAGATTAAGTCTCACAACATTTTATCTTGATAATGTGTTGTATTGTTAGGAGAAAATTTACAGTGAAACCTGTATTAATAAGCGGACACCGTATTAAGCGGACAGTAGCCGAAGTCCCCAAATTTATTTCCCTTATTTACTTTAAATGAAACCTTTATTAAGCGGACACCTCTATTAAGCGGACGTGGACACATAAAAAGCACCTGAAATGGTCATTTCTATTGTTGCCAACCTGTATTAAATGTACTTTGATCACTCATATTATCATAATACTGGAGATCCCTTGCAAATCCTCAAGTTTCTATGTTTGCGCAAAACTACGGCAATAGCAGGCAGGGATTGGGACTGGCTTATGGAGCCAACCGATGGTCGCGACCAGAGCTCTTCAGGACAATATCTTGCCGATATACGAATCTATGCCTCTTGTGCCACTTTCTAGCCATTTCTTTTTCTTTTTTTGTTTTTTTTTTGTTTTGTTTTGTTTTTTTACCATTTCAGTGTTTTTTTGTTCCACGTTTTGAAATACAAAACCAAGGGAAGTGCGTCTACAATCGCGGTTATGAGTTCTACTAAATCTTGTATTTTAATGACAAACTTTTGCTGCGATAAGCGGCATCATTACGGAGAATTTTTGAGACTTCGTTGGTGTTCTAAGGTCGGTCCCTAAATCTTGATACAGGCCGTTATCTCTGCCTGTTTACGGAATCTAAATTCAAGCTTTGTGTATTCCAGAGTCCAGTGAATTTTTCTTATATTTTCGCTTTGGACGTGGACGACAGAGATTGGGTCTTAGGGAGACTGGTTACCAAGCAGCGCCATTTTCTCCGACACCTTCATTTCGTGACCTCGATCTTGAAAATTCCTAATCAATTTCGTCGCCAAACTGAACCGTGAGAAACGCGATGAGTTCTTTTACTAACGACCAAGTGATCAACCTACTGGTTTTGGCTGCTTTGTGTGCTTCTGCCATCCTGACAGCGTTTATAACAACCTTGATTGTAGTAGTGTTCTGCCTTCGTTGGTATGTCCGTAGACGATCCAAGGACGCGCTACCACATCTACGCGCTGTTCCTAAAAAAGGACAAGACATTCGGCCAGTTGTGGTGGGTTTTTTTCACCCTTATTGCAACGCGGGAGGTGGCGGAGAGAGAGTGTTGTGGACTGGAATTCGTGCGTTACAGACTCGTTACAACTTTGTCCGTTGTGTTATTTACACAGGCGATCCCTACGTAAGCGGAGAGGAAATACTTCGAAAGGCCAGACAACGGTTTAACATTTCTCTTCCTCAGCCTGTGGAGTTTGTATTTTTAAAAAGAAGACGCTGGGTGGAGGCAAGCATGTATCCTTACTTTACCCTTCTGGGGCAGAGTATTGGATCACTAGTTCTTGGCTGGGAGGCTCTGAACTGCTATTTGCCAGACATTTTCCTGGACACAATGGGGTATGCATTCACTCTACCGCTGTTTCGCTATCTTGGTGGCTGCCAAGTTGGCTGCTACGTTCACTATCCAACCATCAGCACTGATATGTTGTCTCGGGTTGGTGGCAAAACAGCTTCATACAACAATGCTTCTTTCATTAGCAACAGTCGCATTCTAAGCACAGTCAAGTTGTTCTATTATTACTTATTTGCTCTGATGTATGGTCTAGTTGGGTCTTGCTCTCAAGTCGTCATGGTGAATTCAACTTGGACCTATGGCCACATACTCTCCCTATGGAGGAAGAAAGAACAAACATCAATAGTTTATCCGCCATGTGACACAAAGGCATTTATGGAAATACCAATTAAATTAGGAAGAGTTGCTGGTAATGATGATGACAATGATGATAATGTTTATTCAATAGTGTCTGTAGGACAATTTAGACCAGAGAAAGATCATCCACTCCAGCTTCGATCCTTTCACGAGTTCCTAAAACACAAAATGCTCAAAGACAGGCACAAGTATAAACTTGTCCTAGTTGGTAGCTGCCGAAATCAAGAAGACTCTGATAGAGTGACGGCGCTCAAGGAACTAGCAACTCAGCTTGAGATCCAAAGCTATGTTGAGTTTGCTTTGAATGTTTCTTTTGAGAAACTTAAGCAGTATCTCGCAGAAGCCTCCATTGGTCTTCACTCCATGTGGAATGAGCACTTTGGCATTGGCATTGTGGAGTGCATGGCAAGTGGATCTATAATCTTGGCACATGATTCAGGGGGACCAAAAATGGATATCGTCATTGAATGGGAGGGAAAACCAACTGGATTTCTTGCCAGTGATGAGAAAAGCTATGCTGATGCTATGGAGACAATCTTTTCTCTCTCCCCGGAAGAGAGAAGTGTTATTTGTCACAACGCAAGGCATAGCATTAGCAGATTTTCTGAAAAGGCTTTTGAAAATGGATTTCTTCAATGCACTGAGCCATTGTTCATGAATGTCTAGGGACTTATTGGAAATTAGCCCTAACAATGTCAACTTCTGATAATGCTAGATTCTCCTCTGTAATTGCCTTTTGCTAGTGAAGCAAAAAGTGAATTTGAATAAGATCTAGATTCCAGGCTTGAAGTAAGTAGCAAAAGTATACGTATGTGTAGCTAGAACTTTGACATTATTTTCTTGTGTTGTCAAGGTACAATAACTGTGTTTCTACCTGTACATACAGTTTTCATGACCTATTATCTTCTAGAGCCAGGCAAGGTCTTATTACCTCACTTGGATGGAGTCATAGTTGTAACTGGAGTTGTAAGAGTGCTTATGACCCAGTATAAATCCAAAATGGGAGTCATACATATGTAAGCTTGATAGAATTGGATTTGTACATTTGGTCATAAGCAACAGATCATATTAGCAGAAACCTGTTTAAATTACTAGATCGTAATGCTCTACACAGTCTCAGGGCTGTCGTTAAGAGGCGGGGGCTGGGGATTTCCCCCAGCTACTACAAGTCATGTATGAATGTGGCCCCTGGCTACTTTCAAGGAAAATAGAAGAAAAACAGAGCCAAAAGAAACCCCTAGCTGATTGATTCCCTGCCTACACTTGTTGCATTTACCCAGCAACTTGAAATCTTAGTGACAACCGTGCAGTATTCTGGATATAACTCTGATTCCATCTCCTTGGCCTGTGAAATCCAGCCTCTAAAACATGCTGAAAATCTCACCATTGAGGTCAATCAATGCCTGCATGTAACACTTTTTTTCACAGAGCTCTCTGATTGAGGCAGCTTGTATAGTGTAAAATGCTGCAAGTGATTCTTTGTCTAGATGATTTTGAAGAAAAATCTAGAAGCTAAGTTGATCAAAAGTCACCTGGGGATTCTTCCCATGTGCATGTACCTCCTTACTTGTTGGACAAGGGTTTTGCAAAGCTATTTCAAAAGAGCTAAATAATATAAGATAATTTATATGATTTGGTCTTACAGGTCAGGGTGCGTATATGGGAAAATGCGGAAAAATGGGATCTCAGCTATATGTAACATACACCCCACTGGCCTATTGTACACATTGAAGTCATAGACAACCTTGTACCTAGAGTCTTCTGGGTTTTGGGCAGCAGGGCAACACCAGGGAAGATTCTGGGACAATAAAATTTTCATTACCAGAAAACATGGTAAACAGTCTTAGTGCAAATACATCAGTGCAAAACGGAAGTGATTCTTTCAGTTGTACACATGATCAAAGGGTTAGGAACAAATTCATGCTCATTGGTTTCCAGCAAGAGCAAGTGATGAATGAAGTATCTAAGGGCCCCTTGGCTGAAAACATAGTTTTCTCTGATTTTTTGCATGTTCTGATTAGTTGGATGTCATGGTTCACTGAGTTCCTGCCATGCCTCCATTGTGTCAACTGCTGACTACATTGTAAGGCAGTAGCTTAAAATAATGCAATATCAACTATGTCGTCCAATTGTTTAAACCCAATCTTTGGTCAATCCGGAGTGTCTTCCAATCAAATTGGAACGAAAGTTTGTCTGTACGGCCGTATTTCACTCATCTTAATTTTCTATGAAGGTTGGTATAAAACCAATTTCAGAAATTGCTTACTTGGGGATAGATAATCAATGGCTGTTGTGTGTAGCTAGCTTTTAGTACAGGTTAAACTGTAAGTACTGAAATTCAGTTATGTCAAGTAGTTTTTTGTACTGTTGGTTAAAATGGGAAAGAATAGAGTCCAGTTACATGTAGGTGTGTTATCTTGGATTGACAATAGTAAAACAGAATCAAAAGAATGAGCATAATTATACTGGGGGTCCAGTTTGTTGTAAACAGCATGGAAAATATATGACAACAGATGGTTAAGGAGACAATACACATTTTTGTCATAGGTACATGTAGTCAATTTCAAAAGTTGTCTCCTTCAAAAGAAGACTCCTGGGTTCAAACCTTTCACAGGTGTAATCAATTTTTCATCATTAAAACAAAATTTGAGGGAAACAGTACTGTAATAGTGTTTAATGTTTTGTTTAATTTTCAATTAAATTTAAAAGTGCAACATTGATTTTTTTTTTAATTATAGTTACCAGAATCAGTAGGATATAGAGGCAAAATACAGCATTTAAATCTCTTTTTTTTATTTCATTTGCTAACATTTACCATTAAAATCGAGCCAAAGGTCTCCACTATTCTCCCTTCTAATATTAGGCAACTGAAGGTAACTACATTGCACTTTTTTCACCATTTCTCAATGACAAGTTTAAACACAATATTATTATAAGTCTAACTAAAAGAATTAACTAAATATGTCTTTGTAACAATCATAATTATTGTATTCCTGAAAATCTGTTTGGATTTTTGAAAACGTACTTACAAAAAATTGCAGCCACTAGACTAGAAATCACACCTCAGAAGAAAACAAAGAGTAATAATAAAAAGAAAGAGGACAGAAAAGGAGATGGTTGCCCTCTAAGATTATTATATATTGGTCGCTTCTTGAACAAGAAAACTGCTTGACTAAAGTGGTCTTCTTTGGCAAAAACGTTTTCAAATATCCAGCTACACTGTAATATGCATCTGTTCCTGTACTGAATAGACCATGCCTTAGGCCATCAGCTAACATAACAATAATAATTTATTCTAGGCCTTCAGGCATCAAATTTTTAAATACCCGTAACGGTTTTTCAAATAATCTCTTCTGGAGTTTGATGCAATTACAGATGGAATATCAGTACTGACCAGAGTACTCTGAGTACTGCCAGTGTTGTAAAAAAAACAATTAATAGCAGCGATGATACCGGAACATGTATGCCCTAGAGAAACTTTTAAAGGTCCAATAAACAAAAGCATGTTAACTTTAAAAGTGCCATGAACATGTAACTCCAAAATAATGACAGAAATAGATCATAAATAGATTCACATAAAATTTAATACATTAATTTTTCCATTAAATTAATACAACTATAATGTCTTTAATTGTTTTTATGTAGTATTGACTTTGGCTTCTGTATACAATGTCAGGTATGAACAATAATTCTTATATTCTTAAACCACTTCCCATGCAAACTTTTCTCTATCTGTTGAAATAGAAAAAAGAATAGAAAACATACAATTATTACTAACAAACTTCCGTTTATTGCCCCTTCAATGTGCCAGCCTGTGAGAGAGCCCTGCTTACATGGAAGGAACTGCCAGGGTAATTTCTGTTCTTTTTTTTTTACACGTACATAAGAGAAAGTAAAATCTTTAGAAACCTTAGCCTGTCTATTTGCCAGGACAAGCCTTCTAGAACAGTCGTTTTTTCCACATAAATACTAGGGAGTTTAAGATGTCATGAAGGTGACAATAGCAATGATGACAAAAGAGTAATAGGTTTGATTTAGCAAAACAAGAACTCCGCAAATGCAGCCTACTCCATAAATTATTTCTTTGCACTTAACCTGTTCCAAGCGTTCAGATAGTGGAGAGCGGTGCAAAGTAAAAAAAGCGATGAAAAGTCATGCTCCTTTTTACTTCGCACCGCTCCCCACTATCTGAACGCCTGGAACAGGCTACTTTGCACTCATTGTACAACTTCAATGCATGGTGTGAAATTGCCTCATTTCACATTTCATTGAGAACAAAAATAAAGGATGACAAATTTTTCTTTCTCTTTCTGAGTTCATGGATACCATTCTTAGGAATTTATTTTCAGGAGATTTTGCCTACAATAAATTGATATGGTTCACAAGCAAGTTGGAATAATTACACTGAAATTCCAGATCAACAAGAATAGCTTTGCACAATGTAAAGTAACATCCATACTATGCTGCTGTTGCCATTGATCTAGGAAAAGCATAGTATCTTAAACTCCCTAATAGCAGAGGTCCATGTAACTTTAGGGTTAGTACTCTCAAGTGATTTAAGGCCTGGTCAAATTGTGTGTTCAGAGAATATGACAGATTGACAATATCTTTCGCTAGGATATCAAGAACAAGATGAATTTTGCCCCAAAGTAGTAATCTTGAGGTCTTCTTGTGCATTAATGGTTAATTATGGACATGTGACATGTCATGTGACCAAAAATTTGAAAGAAAGGAAATCGGTGAATTGGCAGCGAATTTACTCTCTTTGGATTATAAAGAAATTGGCGTTTCCGATAGAGGATAAACAGACATGCTGTGCTTAACTTTCAACGTTTGGAATGAATGTACTTGAAGACAAGTATAAAAATAAAGTTTTAAATGATTTGAGATCAAATTTTGGCATTTAAAAAATGATGTTTTCTCTCACATTTTTTTATTGAAAAGTGATGGACAGTCATTCCAAAGGTGAAGTGTTAGAAATATTTGATATGAATGAAAAAAAATTGTTATTGCTTGATTTGTTTTCTTAAACCCATCACCAATATGTTAATCATTTAAGACTTTCAGAAAAATGGTCATGTGGCATATCACGTGATCTACTTGTACCAACACATTACTAATTTATAGTTAAACATGTTAAGGACAATGAATTCTTTAGATGTACCAAATTTTAATTCATTTTCTTCCTCTTTGCTAAAGATATAGCCAATAAATCATTTTCAAAGGTAAACTCCTCAGATTCAGACCCAACTCTCCCATGAGCAGCAGCTCAGGTTGCAGATTCCATTAAGGCTAGGAGAACCGTTCAAATTTACCCCTACAGAATTCAATATTCAGTAATTTGCAAACTTTAACCACAATCCTCAAATTTTTCACAAATTTTTCCAGGAAGTTTAAGTCTTTTGAGAAACTGTCTATGCAGTTCTAATGGTCCTCCCTCGTCTACATCACATGAATTCCCTACACATGTACCTCAAATATTATCACACTTGAATCTCCGGTTTAAAAAGTGGCCACCCTCCGCATGACAGCAAGTGGCTGCATAATAATGGAGGTTGGCTACTATTAAAAAAAATAGAGGTTCCTTTGTAAACTATAGTAAAAACTTGATGATTATGGGGAAAGGCAGCGATGTCAGTCTGTAACTGATGAAACATTACATAATT